AAGGTGACCACACTTATTACGTTTGCACCCCACGAACCACGTAACACGCCCCATTTTCCTAAGGGAATAGGGTTTTCGAAATGTGCTGATGGAAGTATGCGAGGTTTCATATGATTCCATACAACGAATTCTAAATGCTTACATGCAGCGTACGGTGCTGAAATACCTTCTTTCTTCTTATTCTTGACAAATTTAAAATTAAATGGCGGTGCTTTCCGGGAGAGCCGAGAGAAAAACCTATTTGTATGTAAGTATAATAAATCAGCCTAAAAATCATCTCGAGTCTCAATAAAAATCTTTATTTTCAATTAAATAGTTTGTACAGAACAATGTGACGACCTCCGTGGCCGAGTGGTTTGTACGCCGGGTTTCATGGTGTCACCGACTCGACCGATTTATTTTTTAAGCATTTAACTGCTAGATATTTAAATCTAAAGAAAAGTTTACTAGAAAAAAAAACTTAAAGTAACTTAAGTAAACTTTTCTTTAGATTTAAATATCTAGCAGTTAAATGCTTAAAAAATAAATAAAATCTTGACTAAACTAGTTAAACTACAAAAAAATACAAAAATTTAAAACTTTGTACGCCTGTCGAGTTCGAACTCAAGCCCTCTTGCATTCAAAGGAGCGTTTGATGCATTAGACCAAGCCTCCACTAACAACGTGGGCAAAAAATAAGATATAAATTAGTCAAGGAAATTAAGCTCAGAAAATGGCCAAACCTTGCAATTTTTTCGACGCATCGATTATATGAAACTAGCAAACCAGTGAACCAAATGTTCACCAAAACCTGATTTCTCGAAAACCGGAAGTGCTACGTTACTCAAATCCGGTTTGTAGTCTTGTCAGACTATTCTTAACTTATAACTTAAATATTCTCTTTATCTATCTCTTACGGTTTGGCCGCGAAAACAGCACCACAGACAGACGGACGGACTTGTCTAATGGATAAGAGATTTGGAATTAGGCTCATTTTACCCTGTACATCAAAATCTATATTACGCCGATGTGCGCCGTTGTTTTTTTAGGGTGAAAACTACCCCTCACTGTCAAAACTTATAAAATAACATTTTGAACCTTGACATGGGAAAAGGACATTGTTCTGCGTCCATACATAGTTAGCCTAAGAACCAACAATCATGTAATATTATTTTCTAGGTTCGAAATCGCACGTAAATAACTGTAAAAACAAAGATTATTGACGGACACTTCTGAGAACTTAAATTATTAGGAAAACTAAAATTTTTTTGAGCATATGTTTAGTATTAAATGAAACATAGGTCAACCTATGAACTTAGTATGAACTCAGTATGAATTGAATTAATATTACAACTAATTAATTACAACTATTAGGAAAAACTTAGGTAGGAATCATTAATAAAATAAAAACGGTAGTTTTGCTTCTTATTTTATGACTATTTTTCACATAATTGTATCATATTGTATATATTTGTATATCACATGTATATTGTGTAAATATGCAGCGTGAATGTGTATCAGGTGCTCTTGAATAATTTGGCAGTATGTTCCTCTCAGGATGTTGTGGCACAGGTTCACTAGCACTTGGTAATAAGGTCTCTGCTCTTTGGTAACATCGATGGCATATTAGATAGCCGAAATAGATAAATTAAAGGAAAAACAATCGCAAATAACTTTTTATTTGCGATAGACAACAGGTAATCCGAAACGAGAATGCACGAATGCCACAGATTACTACGAATGCAAACTGCCTGGACCACAACCACAGAGTATCGACTTTTATGCCGGCCCTTCACTTGAAAACAGTCTGTCCTTGCCATGTTTAATAAGGAATGATAAGGACAGACTGATGTCAAGTTTTCAAATAGCAAATACGAATAGCCAAGTGAAGTGCCGGCATAAAGAAGAAAGAGTGTTTTGTTTGCAGCGCTGTCATAGATTATACACACGAAATGGTATTTATTGTCTCAGATTATTTTTTAACTTTTTAATTTAGCTTACTTAACTGGAAGTGTCCGTCACAATCTAAATACTGATAATTATCGCAAAAAATATACTAAGAATTTATTTTAAGACCTTTAAGCGAGTTGATTAATATCAAATAAATTTTCTGTAATACTATTTTTTTCTAATTTTTAAAGGTTGCTAGATACGTCGAATATAACTAACAGACTCAGAAGACGAAATGTTGTTTAGCTGGGAAGCTGAGGCACTGACCTCTGCTCTCTTAAAGTCATTCCGCATGAAACAAAATTGATAAAAGTCCTTGAGGACTGATAAGATTGGGGAAACAAAATCTAAAGCTTATGATTTTATTTATTTTTTAAGCATTTAACTGCTAGATGTTTAAATCTAAAGAAAAGTTTACTAGAAAAAAATCCACGCGGACCAGGCAGCGGACGGGACTCGAACCCGCATCCTTCGCTATCCGGGCGAATGCACTGACCATTATGCTACCACGCCCCTATTAGCTATCTCTTCTTTCAAATGTTTAATACTTGAAAAAGTATTTATTTGACATTGTGGGTTACCTACAATGCGAAGAGATGGCGCTACCTTGCAGCTTAAGGCTAGGAAAATTTCGACGCGCCTAATAGGGCCGTGGTAGCATAATGATCAGTGCATTCGCCCGGATAGCGAAGGATGCGGGTTCGATACCCGTCCGCTGCCTGGTCCGCGTGGATTTTTTTCTAGTAAACTTTTCTTTAAATCTAAAGGTTGTTACTGAATCCTCTAAAATTTACTATATTGTATTCATCATCATCATCCTCTTTATGTCCCCACTGTTGCGGCACAGGCCTTCCCTATGGATGGAATAGGGAGATTGGGCCATGACCCACCACGCGGGCCCAGTGCGGATTGGCAGGTTCTAACGATTGCAGATGCAACCGGGACCAACGGCTTAACGTGCCTTCCGAAGCACGGAGGAACTCGAGATAGAAATTTTTGGTCACCCATCCAATGACCGACCACTGCGAAAGTTGCTTAACTACAACGATCGCAGCCGAACGCACTAACCACCTGCGCCATCGAGCTCCTCCATGTTGTATTAAAAGATAATAATATGGCTAGCGATAGAGAAAACCGGCACGTCTAATGAATGAATGAATGATTTAAATACAAAGCTACCTTTCGGCGTAGTGGACGCGACCTCGGGGAAGAAGCACCACTCGACATTGTTCTAAAGGGCGAAAATGCGAACGCGGCACCGAACGAACCACTTCTCATGATATTTTTCGTGGAACTTGTAAAAGGTTGACCCGACGGGAGTATTCCCCGTTTACTTGGACCACAACAAATTCAATGATTATTATTACAGCGAACCTCGTACCGCCATAAAAAAATAGGGGTTGGTGGTAGAAAGTTGAAAATTTAGGGATGTATGTATTTTTGTATGATGTATCATAAAAAAATTACAAAAAAAAAATCTAAAATTGAAATAAAAAGCCGTTTCGGAGGAGTTTAACCACAAACACCGCGACACGAGAATCTCTTACCTATTAGACAAGTCCGTCCGTCTGTCTGTGGTGCTGTTTCAGCGGCCAAACCGTAAGAGATAGATAAAGAGAATATTTAAGTTAAAAGTTAAGAATAGTCTGGATTTGAGTAACGTAGCACTTCCGGTTTTCGAGAAATCACGAATTTCAAACTAAACCACACAAAATCTCCGAAGTTCTCAATTAAATAAATACATTTTTTATTTTTTTAAATCAGGTTTTGGTGAATATTTGGTTCAAATAAAATAAATAAATTCAGGAGCTGTGTCGCTTAGTATGTGTTGTGGATTTTTTTTAGTACTTTTATGCCTAATGCTTAAGGGTCCCGGCATCACATAGTAAGGAAGACAACCGTTTGTTTTGATCATACGGCGTGCAGCAGTGTCAGTATTTCTTTATACATAGACTAGCTGACCCAGCGAACTTCGTACCGCCCTAAAAAAATAGGGGTTGTCCAGCGGACAAAATTGTGAATCTAAACCATTCTCAGATCCCCTTGAACACACACAAAAAATTTCATCAAAATCGGTCCAGTCGTTTAAGAGAAGTTCAGTGACATACACACTCACAGAAAAATTATATATATAAAGATATGAATTGATGATATTATATTATTTACATACTAGCAAACCAGTGAACCAAATGTTCACCAAAACCTGATTTCTCGAAAACCGGAAGTGCTACGTTACTCAAATCCGGTTTGTAGTGTTATCAGACTATTCTTAACTTATAACTTAAATATTCTCTTTATCTATCTCTTACGGTTTGGGCGCTGAAACAGCACCACAGACAGACGGACGGACTTATTTACATATAGATAATGAAATGATCGGAACATAACCCAATTAGGTTTCCATGTGAGAGATGCGTCAGTGTGGAAAAATATAATTGCAAGACCAATGTTTACAGTAACTTGCAATCGAAATTGTCGAGGCCACGACTGAATTCTGAAAACCAGTCTCATTAAACAAGCGTAAAAGCGACCGAAACCCTTTTGAGGGATTTAAAATCATAGTAAATCATACTACTACAATTGTACAAGTTAAATTCATATTGACGATGACATGCAATAAAACGATCACTTTCAATAACATTTTAATTGGTTTTTAATTGCGCCCAAATGAAAAGCAGATTTTCAATTTTGATGAAATATATTCAAACAAACAGCATTTCAAGCAAAAGAGATCTATTTTGTAATCTATTTTTAAATATTAATTATGTAAGTGCCAATACCAGTTTTTTTGTGCGCCAAGAAAAGATAAATTGTGTGTACACGGTGCGTCGTATGTACTATGTCTCAATAAGCCAAACCATGAAATAAATAATCACCCTGCTCTTTACGTTGGTACCAATATTGCTTTCAATGCTATTCTTCGAACGTCAGGTTTGCCATGGGTCTCACTTCGGACCATTTGTACCGAGTATGTCACCGACCTTAATGTTTAAGCCGAACTTCATCCAAAGAACAGCTGACTTTAAAGAAAAAGTTCCACAGAGCATAATTTCATGATCATATCTATGTATGTCAAGACCACATGACACATGACTTCAAAAAATTATTCATCGACTTTCTTTCTTTCTAACCGTAAAATCAATCCTTTATACCTATAATAACATACATCAATGAATCAATGCATTTTTAAATAGTGTACCTTCAGACACTACAATCTCCAAATAGAAAACCACACCAAGAGGAATACTCGTATCAATTACATATATCGACAAAAATATCTCCTAAAAGAAGCACGCTAAGCAACTATGGGGGAAGAAGAAGCAGCCACGATCGACAGTCAGTTCTACGTGTTCGCCAAGTTGTTCGACCACAAGCGGAGCGGCGACACGATCACGTTGTACCGGTCCGACTACTGGATGCGGCAGGCGGGCGTGCTCGACGACAGGCGGCTCACCATGACCGACACCGGCATCGTCTTCAACAAGTATAGGTTTGACACACTTGAATATCAGATATATATAAAACTCAAAGGTGACTCACTGACATAGTGATCTATCAACGCACAGCCCAAACCACTGGACGGATCGGGCTGAAATTTGGCATGCAGGTAGATGTTATGACGTAGGCATCCGCTAAGAAAGGATTTGCATCAATTCTATCCCGAAGCGAAGCGAGGGCGGGCCACTAGTCAGATATAAGAAAAAAAACTTGTAAATGCATTTGTAAAGTTTACCATGTAATTTGAAATGCAAGACATTTCTTATAAGACCCTTGGCTCCGGTGCCCACCATCTTTGCAAAGAAATCGCGAAAAGGTTGGTGGAGACCACTGGAGACCGCAGAGCTGGAGGTTATTTCGCCCAGCGCATAAGCCTCGCCTTTCAGCGGGGAAATGCCGCCAGCGTCCTGGGAACCTTTGCCGACGGGGAAGACTTACGGCAGCTATTTTTTTAATATTTTTAATTTTTGTTTAGTTTTAGTTTAATATTTGTCATGTTGCTTTTGATTTGTTTCTAGAATTGTTAATATAAAGTATATGTCTTTACACTAAAGTATGTTTCATTTTTGTCATTCCAATTATTTATGATTTATACAAAAGTAATTTGTTTGAAAACATTTTCTTTTGAACATTATTAGGATTCTTTGCGAACAGCTCATACGAGTAAACTTAATTTGATTTTATGTTTGATTTGAATAAGAGTCAACTAATAATTTATTGATTGATTGATTAAATGAGATCCTAGATATTTTCTTAAAATGTGCAATGCATTTACCATGTAAACCAGCAGATTAATATTTTCTCGTCAACAGAAACGTTTTATGAATCCTCCAGGAGCTCCTATTCCAGCTCCTACCAGAGCTCCCCTAGAATAATACTTACTTCTAGATCCATCAGCTGACTTAGTTACTATAATCTGGACTCCTATCAACTTTATACTTTTGAATTCAGAGATGGTAGAACTTGGCTTGTTTGATAATAACTCATAAGTAACTGAAATAATGTAGTGTATTTGAAAAGAGAATGCAGTTTCTATTAAATGAAAGTTTTACCTCTGTAAGTATAACACTAGACATCGCTGTGGGTGGTGTCAATTATTGTATGCGTTGGTCCTACATACTACAGAGGGAAAAGCGAGGCACTTGTACTTTATTCATTTATCACTTCATTTTAATAAATTTAGTTTTTGCATTGCAGCAAGACAGAAATAAATTTTGAAGAGTGGCTGCAATTCCTAGCCGACTTGTGTGAACGGAAAGGTTTGAAAGAAGAGAAGATCCAAGACTTTCTAAAAAACTGTGGCCTGCCTGGTCAGATGCCAGTAGCAACTCCTCACTACAGAGATTATTTTCTAACTTATAAACCGAAAGACAAATTGGCATATTAGTAGGACATTGGGTTATAGTATTTCTCTGATGTTTGGCACTTACCCTACTGTACCTTGGAAACAAAGTGTTTTTAGTATCTAGATTACAACTTGTATAATATTTATTAACAAAATGGACCCAACAACCGATGTGACCTACTCATCAATTTTATAATACTTTGATTTAATTAGATTTTATATACTTTTAGATTTTTTAGATTAGTGTTTGAATTTCTAACTATGTCTTAATTTATTTACTAGTAACCTTTGTACCGTTTAATGTAATGTTCTCTTTTATAATAATTATATTTAAATTGATCATTCTTTACATATTTTATTGTCGTAAGTTTTTTCTGCACCAGTGCAGCATACCAAATGAGTTGGGGTGACTTCTGTCGGGACTACTTACATATGTTTTCTAATGTTATAATATCTTTTAAGAGTTCCGAATAATCAAACCCTTAAAGTTTCGCTGTGTCTGACAGCAGCTTAGCTCTAGAAATCTTAATCACACTAATATTATAAAGGCGAAAGTTTGTGAGTGTGTATGTTTGTTACTTCTTCACGTCTAAACGGCTGGAACGATTTTAATAAAATTTGGTGTGGAGTTAGCTGATACCCTGGATTAACACATAGGCTACATTTTACTGCGGGAAAATATCTTATTTCGATGGGAAAATCGATGCAAATGAATTTTATTTAAGTAGGTACATATTTTTTGACATTCATGTCAAAGCTATTTTGAACATTCATGTCAAAGCTATTTTGATAGATTAATATTTCATACATATTTCTAAGACAACGATATTGTTATAATTTTTTTGTGTATCTAATTATGACTCACAATTGTAAACCAAATCGTTCACAGAGCTCACAAAGAGCTTCATCTATGAAAATTGCAAGACAGCAAGAATCTACTTATGATACTGAACAGCGCAGACGTGACCAAGTAACACGTCAGGCAGAAGTCAGAACTGGAGAAACTTCTGCGCAAGCTGATGCTCGGCGTCTGGAAAATCCTATCCGCATAGCCTCTCAGCGTGCATAGGAGACAACTGATGAGGCAGCTTTTCCGCGTCAATAAAACGCACAGCCTATGGCCACACAGTGATCCAATCAAACACCTTATGAAGCAACTTCTCGACGGCAGAAGCATGTCCAGTTTATGGCTAATCAGCGTGCATTAGAGACACATGAAGAAGCAGCTACTCGGCGTCAAGAAAACGCACAACGTTGTCCATTCAGCGTGCCATTGAAACACCTGATGAAGGAACTTCTCGACGGCGAGAGCATGCCCTGCTTATGGCTAATCAGCGTGCATTAGAGACACCTGAAGTAGCAGCTACTTGGCATCAAGAAAACGCATAGCGTATGTCCACTCAGCGTGCCATTGAAACACCTGACGAAGAAACTTCTCGACGGCTAAATCAATCCCAGCTAATGTCTAATCCGCGTGCTTCCGAGATAGTAAATGAGACAAATTCTAGACGACTCGCAGTCGCTCAGCATCAAGCAGAGTGCCGGCAAACATTTACCAGAAATGGTTGGGGGTTATTTGAAAAATGTGGTTTTGAATATGACTTGACATTGGATTACAATAGCCACAGGCTCATGAAAATTTGCCGTATGGAAAATGTGTGTCACCATTGTGGGGCATTAAAATGGAATGAGGAAGGAGCGGGAATGTATAGGTTTGGGGGCAAAGTAGCCATTCCTGTTTTAGAAGAGCCTGTGGAACCCTTAAATACATTATTTACAGGTGAAATTGATGCGTACAACCCATGCCTTTACATGTCGTCGTTCGGGGCGGACAAAGGACAATGGCGAACTCCCATACAATTTTTTGTTGAAATTTTTTCTTGCGTCTATAAATGAATTGCATGTTAAATTATAGAGTTCACATTCTTGATTTGATTCATCTTATTTCTTATATTATAGGAAGTCCGGATTTATAGATATTCTACTTTGAAGTTTTGGAGGTTATGTCCTACCAAGTAATGCAAAAACGAATTATAAAAGTTTGTTTCAAGAGTATTTTTATATCAAAATAAAAAATACGTGGAACGGAACTATAGAAGTACACCGGTCCTGAAGATTAGTGACGAAAAAAAATGATTTTTACAATGTATGATCAGTTGGCTTTCTTTTTTTCTTTCTTTGGCGTAGGTACTGACCAACCGCGTCAAAATACTTATTATCAGACAAGAGTTATTGAGTTCAAATACAATGTCTGTGGTGTAAGAAGTACTTAACAATTTGAAAATGCCCACTGCAATAATAAAGTATAAAAAAGGATTTCTAATAATGTACTAATGGGATATTAATTAAATATGCAACACTTTATATATTTTTTATTCCACATCGTTGATCACAATATCGTAGATAGTAGATACAATGAAATAAAATCCACAGTATAGGACAGAATCGTGTCCAAAATCCACAGCAAAATATCAGATTCGGAAGTCTTAGGCAAGCACTACTCCACAGTTGCAGAGAAAGATTTCGAAAGTCCAAATACAGTCCAAGTCACATAAAAAAACAAATCTCAGAAAAACACAATACGCTGATTGAAATCTTTGCAATATGCTTGCACCTAAGCACGAACAATGATATATAATGATAACAATAACAACAACAATTCGATGACAAGCATGACAGTGACAATTATAGTTTTTTTTTCGTTAGAATTGTCGCCATACTCTTTTTGTATTGTGGAGATTATTTAATATGGTTTCAGTATAATATTGAAAATTAATGTTTCCCTATATTTTTGTCATATAATTAAATACAGTTCAAGCATAAAGCGATGCAAAACATACGAACAACATATTTAAAGTTGATTTCATCACTAAAATCACTTAAAATGAATGGCTCAAAAGCCATCATGGCCAAGCCACAATAAAAATAAGTAGTCAATTGTGTTTCCCTTTTTTTAAGTTTTTAATTCCAAACTAAGACAACCTTCCTCAATTGTTTAATAAATCTTTTGAGATTATACATTTCTGATAATGACATCTATAGACGCTATAGATTTACTTCAACAAATATTTCGCCATTGTCCTTTTTGCAATGCCTGGATTTTCCCCAACGTTCACAGTGCATGGCCAACTACATCACAAAACGGATGATGATCACCTAATGAACAGCCACAATTTTTACAGGTGTATTTTATGGGAGACGACGACGCGAAAACTGACAAACGGTGTCAAATCATTCAAGGTATGGAGCGAGCAACTGTGCCAGGAAGACGAGTTTGCTCGCACGTGGAATGCGTCACGAAAACAATGGAACGTTGCGCGCAGGGCGCACCCGTCCACGGTTGGCCTGGTGTGAAAGCCTTAGATGCCCACGGTAGAATTTATACCGTACACATAACACACTTTGAGTGCTATTGTGTACGGTTGCTGTTGCTATTACTAGAATCCGGGGTCCTACCAGTTTTCAAGCGCTCAAAATCGTCGATGGGCAGGAAAAGGCCACTTTTCAAGAAGCATGTGAGGCGATGAAGCTGCTTGAAGACGACGGCCACTGGGACGCAACGATGGAGTGCGCAATGTTGTGCCGGTCAGCGACTACGTTGAGAGAGCTCTTTGCGATTATGATAAGCACCTGCGGACTCTCCAACCCCCGGCAATTGTGGTGCAAGTATAAAAAGCGCTTTGTCAGAGGACATTGCTCGCCGATACCAAGGGATCATCATCATCATCAGCCTATTAATGTCCCCACTGCTGGTGCACAGGCCTTCCCTATGGATGGAATGGGGAGATTGGGCCATGACCCACCGCGCGATCCCAGTGCGGATTGATGGGTGCTAACGACTGCAGATGCAGCCGGGACCAACGGCTTAACGTGCCTTCCGAAGCACGGAGGAGCTCGAGATAGTAAATTTTTGGTCACCCATCCAATGACCGACCACTGCGAAAGTTGCTTAACTTCGACGATCGCAGCTGAACCACTTGCGCCATCGAGCTCCTCGACAAGGGATAACACTAGACATAATTTTTAAAGAAGCGCTGAAAGTCTTATTTCTTGGACGCACCAGGGGGCACCGGCAAGACTTTTTTAATGAACTTGCTGCTGGCACAGTTGTGCAAAGACAAAGTGGTTGCGCTGGCTGTTGCATCCTCCAGAATAGCCGCAACCTGGCTGAGTGGTGGCAGAACCGGACACTCAGTATTCAAGCTCCCGCTGAAACTTGCAAGTGAAGAAACGCCCATTTGCAACATCAGTAAAAGTAGTATCGTGGTGCTCTATTGCAATGGTGCAAATTGATCGTATGGGACCACATCCCGTGTGTCGAGAGCAAGAAACACATTTTATTTACGCAGAAAACAATAAGTCCCGCATTGTGGTTTACCGGGATGTGCTGCAGTAAAGTGATTTCTAGGTCTCGCTCTACGACCCGAGGCAAAAAACAATTACATAAGACAGCATAATCATCTCTCCCGTTCTGTCAGTTATCAAATTTTGTAAATTGATCTTTCCGATGTTTAAGTTTAAATTATTTTGCTTCTAAAAATGTGAATAGTCATTGTTTTTACTGTTAATACACAATTTATTTTCCCTAATAAGCCGCGGGTAACACCGCGGGGCACAGCTAGTGTTCTATAAATCTGTAATTTTGTATGGACAAAACATATGAGTCACGCCATTAGAGATAAAATAAAATATTGAAGACTTTATAGTGATACAAAAATGAACGTAAGAGAATTCAATGTTAACCATTGGAAAATGATGTGGTGTCGTGGGACACCAGGTAGGAACGAAGTTCCTTCGGCTAATGTAGAATCGACACAAATTGCAAACTCGCTTGTGTATGCGACTGTCGCGCCTGCGCACGTCTTATTTAACGGTTTTATTCCACGCACTATTTTCCACAGATTTTTTCTTACGGTTTTACTATCACATTTTTTTCAGTTCGGTCAGCTAGTGTTCGTAAAGATTGCTAGGCAGGACTGGCCCACAGTTTATAATAAACTACATTGTCACAATAATCCAGTAATGCAGCCCCGTCGCTCTGCCACCCCCCTGGACTTAACCACAGTTTAGTATAATATACGACAATAAACCAGTGTTGGTATAATGCCACAATAATTTGGGGTTGCACTCTCGTCGCTCTGTCACCCCCTGTTAAGTACTGACCTTGTTATTATGTCTAGCTTAAGTTTACAGCAGATGACAGGCGTTCCTGGTCCACAGCTCGGTTTAACGTCACAAATATCCAGATTTCGTGTAATGTCACAATATTCCAGTGCTGCACCCTCATAGCTGTGCCACCCCCTACATACGCACCTTATTATCATGTCCCGCTAGCGTTCGTAAAGAATGCTAGGCAGGACTGGCCCACAGTTTAGAACAAACTACAATGTCACAATAATCCAGTGATGCACCCCCGTCGCTCTGCCACCTCCTGATAAGTACTCACCTTGTAATCATAATCATGTCTCACAGGCGTTACTGGTCCACAGCTTGATATAACTTCACAAATATCCAGTGTTGGTGTAATATAACAATATTTCAGTGATGCGCCCTCGTCGCTCTACCACCCCCTATAACTTCACACATATTCAGTGTTGGTGTAATATCACAATATTTCAGTGATGCACCCTTGTCGCTCTACCACCCCCTATAACTTCACACATATTCACTGTTGGTGTAGTATCACAATATTTCAGTGATGCACCCTCGTCGCTCTCTCTCCTGCCGTAAGGAACTTCGTCTCATTTAACGGTTTTATTCCACGCACTTTTTTCCACGGATTTTTTCTTACGGTTTTACTATTACATTTTTTTCAGTTCGGTCGCGCAGCAAAATCCCTATCCCCCAAGCCTGCCGTAAGGAACTTCGTTCCAAAAAGCTTCAGACCACATGTTAAAGAGCTTAAAATTCTTAAAATGTTCCCCCTTATTAGTAAACGAGGAATAAGATACGCTGTGTTTTATTCATATCACTCAATGACGTATTTAATTCAATGAACTAAGACATAACATGGAGTAACTAATAAAAGCTTATTATCCATTTATGAATAAGGGGGAAGTTAAGACATTTAACACATCTGTAAGTAAATTTATAATACAAAACCCGAGTTGTCTCAAATCAAAAGTATTAATGTTAACAAACCAAACATACTTTTAATAATAACCTCTTAAGAATGTGATAAAGATTTTTTCTGCAAAATCTACATAGTTTCATTTTTCGAAATGAAATTTTTCTTCCTCTATAAACACCAAAGGATTTGTTTCATTAAGAGCATTGTTAGCGACGCTAGCTCAATAGTGTAATTTGTTTGTTAAAATTTGATTAAATATGTGAGGTAGTTGGATGTCATTGCCGCTCCCGCAAAGTACCGTTACAAACACGGACACCAGCCAGTCTGCCGCGAGACGCTCTGGAAGTGACACCGTACTATTTTGCAATCCCTAAAAAACACGTGTTAGACTAATATTACAGTCATCATCAGCCGATTAATGTCCCCACTGCTGGGGCACAGGCCTTCCCTATGGATGGAACAGGGAGGTGACCCACCACGCGGGCCCAGTGCGGATTGGCGGGCGCTAACGACTGCAGATGCAGCCGGGACCGACGGCTTAACGTGCCTTCCGAAGCACGGAGGAACTCGAGATAGAAGATTTTTGGTCACCCATCCAATGACCGACCACTGCGAAAGTTGCTTAACTACAACGATCGCCATCGAGCGCGAATATTACAGTAAAAGTAGTAGTAGTATATTATACGTTTGTTCGCTACGTTTTGGCGTTTACATAAATACCGTACCTTCGCACCCCCCACAAGCATACCATTTTTGATAAGTTCTTTTACCAACTTCGTAACTCTACAATTTTCATAAGAAAATTCCCCACAATTTTAAGACCGTAGAGCGTGGGCCGCCGTTAACCGGAAGCACGGAACGGACGTTCATCGTAAAGATCCGCTCCGTGCTCCGTCGCGGGACCCGCAAGAGACTCCAATAGCACATTGCGCGGGTGATGAAATCCCGCCAACCACCCATGGCCTGGCGAACCTTCTTGGTTATGCAGGCCGAAGCAGCGGGAGATACGCGCGGAATGGCCTCCACCGCGCGTACTTTCTTGACTCCCTACAAATTATTCTTTGTCTATCTCCTTGTCCCTATGGTCCCCCTCCCCTTCCTGGGGCGGACGTACACGAAACGCCTTCGTCGCAATCCCAGCCGTCCCGTGCCCACTCTGAAGTGGTACCGCTGGCTCCAAATTGTACGGTCCTCTCTTCTTTCCTCGCCTCGGGTCTTCTTTCTTCACCTCTCGAGTCCACTCCGAATCCTGTGCCATCTACGCGCGAAATCCCGCAGCTGCCTGAAGTTCGCCTCCGATCCCACAAAGTCGCAATAGTAGACCGTGCGCGGGTGAACAGTCGATAATGGATTAATTTTGTTGATAATACAACCTAGTTACAAGAAAACGCAGACGAGGGCTCAGAAGACAACCAATCGAACGTGCTCCGTCGCCTGCACCGCGTGAAGCGGGACTTTGAAACAAAGACCAAGCGGACGCCCGCTTCGTGCCCAGATTAACGAAGTGCAGGATCTTACTCTTAGTCTCAAAACGCACAGTACAATGCTATAATATTTCCATTAAATCCCTTCTTAGTGACCACCTAAAACATCATCGTCAATCATCACGACGTCCTCCGTGGCCGAGTGGTTTGTACGCCGGGTTTCATGGCTTTCGCCGACTCGAGAGGTCCCGGGTTCGAATCCCGGTGGGGGCAGATGTTTGTGTGATGAATACGAGCATTTGTACTCCAGTCATGGATGTTTAAAATGTATTTATATAAATATGCTTATATATGTACGGTATATTTATTCTATCCATTACCCTAGCATCCCATAGCACAAGCCTTATAGTGCTTACTTGGGGCTAGGCTAATTGGTGTGAATGTGGGAAATATTTATTATTATCAACAGCCTACGTTAGTCCACTGCTGGACATAGGTCTCTGCAATTGCACGCCACTCAGGTCGATCTTGGGCTACTCGCATCCAGCTCCTGCCAGCCACCTTGCGCAAATCGTCACTCCATCGCGCCTGAGGACGTCCTACACTACGTTTGCCTAGACGCGGTCTCCACTCCGGAACTCGTCTATCCCAACGGTTATCGGTTCTGCGCCAAATATGACCAGCGCACTGCCACTTCAACTTGCTAATTCGATGGGCTATGTCGATAACTCTGGTTCTCTGTTGGATGACCTCATTTCTGATGCGATTCTTCAGAGAAACACCGAGCATAGCCCTTTTTTCATAGCGCGCTGATCGACTTTCAACTTGTGGACAATCCGCGCTGGGTCCGTGATCATCCACCAATCCGCACTGGGTCCGTTATCACCCACCAATCTGCACTGGGCCTGTTATCACCCTCCAATCCGCACTGGGTTAATTATGACTCATCAATCCGCGCTGGGTCCATTATCACCCACCAATCCGCACTGGATCCATTAGCATCCACCAATCCGCGCTGGGTCCATTATCACCCAGCAATCCGCGCTGGGTCCGTTATCATCCAGCAATCCGCGCTGGGTCCGTTATCACCCACCAATCCGTGCTGGGCCCGTTATCACCCACCAATCCGCGCTGGGTCCGTTATCACCCACCAATCCGTGCTGGGCCCGTTATCACCCACCAATCCGTGCTGGGCCCGTTATCACCCACCAATCCGTGCTGGGCCCGTTATCACCCACCAATCCGCGCTGGGTCCGTTATCACCCACCAATCCGCGCTGGGTCCGTTATCACCCACCAATCCGCGCTGGGTCCGTTATCACCCACCAATCCGTGCTGGGCCCGTTATCACCCACCAATCCGCGCTGGGTCCGTTATCACCCACCAATCCGTGCTGGGCCCGTTATCACCCATCAACCACCCCCCAAGTAAAGCGTGCCTCAAGAAGTTTCACTTCAAAAAGTTATATGCGAAATTTCACCCGTCAAATCTCAGCAGTATCGGCTGTACTCAATCAATCAATCAATTTAACAATTTTTTTTAATCTCTTATCTATTAGACGAGTCCGTCTGTCCGTGGTGCTGTTTCAGCGGCCAAACCGTAAGAGATAGATAAAGAGAATATTTAAGTTATAAGTTAAGAATAGTCTGATAAGACTACAAACCGGATTTGAGTAACGTAGCACTTCCGGTTTTCGAGAAATCAGGTTTTGGTGAACATTTGGTTCACTGGTTTGCTAGTAATAATATATTATGTTTTTGATTTAATTTCTTTAAGAAATGATTATTCATAAATTTGTAGTACACAAAAGGGGTTCCTTGTTTGTTATTACTGTGATACTTTTAAAGACCTTTTAAACCGTGAAAATAGTTAAAAATCTAATTGAATTATAACAATTTTTGTGTTGTATAGTTCACAAGATATAACACACGCTTTTGCTTACAGACACGAGATACTGCAAAGCTTATTATGACTCGTTCCTGTGTTGGGGGCCCACGCCCGGGGGCCACACCACATTCCAGAAATGTCCCAACGTACGCTTGAGCGACCCAACGCGTAAGTACTTGTAAAAACTCCAAACTTATCTCTGACTAGTGGTCCCATCAGTCCGCCGCTTTTCCCTTACTGCTGGTGGTCCAAATATTAATTAATAAAGAAAATTACCAAGTCCCGCTGCCGTAAATCGTTAGGTTTATTGGCTCGTGGTTTCACTGTCTCCAGGAGCTCTATTTTTGAATCACTCGTCTTGCGTCGTACGCTTGATTTCTACTAAATTTCACTAGATATAATTAATTCCGTATTTTTGAATCGCTCGAGTGCAACGAATGGGTGAGACCACTCGCTGCATGGCGAACGGTAGAGGCGAATGATAGAATAATTGTCAAATTTTTTGTGCTATTAGACGACAATAATCTATCATTGCCATGCTTTATATGAAACGACAATGAGAATTTTTTGTTCTGTTTTCATTGCGGTAATTACCGTTTTTTATTTTTTCAACGTTACATGAGTAAAATTTCATATTTCGTATTAAACAGGTAACACTGGTGACGAATGATTCAAAAATACGTAAAATCAGTATTATGCGACATGAAAGTTGAAGGTGACTTATGTCGCATTCGACGATACTATGTCAGACGAGTGATTCAAAAATAGAGCTCCTGCTAGTAGAACTACGTAACCCGCTTATTTCTATTGATCCTCCATTACAAATTTGTACTAAAATTGAAATAAGTTCGCTGGAATTTTGATTTTATGTTATATCAATAATTGAGATGACCCTTAACAAAAATGATCATTATACTGGGCTACAGCATTTTCATATAAAAACCTATTTTGCGTATTTAACAAAACAAGCGTTTAAACTGCGTTTCTATTATTTGTCTAATTATGTTCGATTCTTTTGGTTACTTTAACATAATAAATAAATCGTATTTTAATTGTATATTTTATTATACATTTAAAAGCCCTTGAAATTAAAAAAAGATTTCTAGATTAAATGTTTTATGAACAGAATTGGCATTCCGCACATGCCACATGTCTGGTCAGTGGTTGGGTCGCCGTTTGAACGAGACCAGCGCGGCGGGCTGGACCAACTACACGCCGTGCTTCCCTATAGATGTTAAACTGCTCTTTGACAAAGTATCCGAGGACGAGAATTCACAAGTGAGTTCGTCATGTTACACTTCCAAGCCAGCAGTTGCATGATACCCATTTCATGAAGCTCCGAATGTAACCTTTACACTGAATAACATTAAGTTTTAAAGTAAAGAAAATATTTAGACATGCTTAGTAGTGTTGAGTAGGACTTACACGAGGCGGTACATTTGTCCCGGACATGACGTCGAAATGTAAGAGCGGCTCAAAATTTTAAAATGTACTAATTCACATTAAATGTCGCGATAGTCGCGTCTCGTTACTCACTCACTCTTCGTAAGTCTGAGAGAGAGCGAGGCATGACATTTAATTTAAGTCCTCTACGCACTATCCATCTGTATCTCTATCTCTTTTACGTGTATAGCGCTGTCCTGCATGCTGGATCCAGCAAGGTTAATAGTGCGTAGAGGAGGTGCTACTCGTCGGGCTTCTGTACGCCTCGCCTCATTTGAAGTGGGACATTGTACTGGCTCAGTACAAAAAAGAGGCTACTCTTACAAACTCTTTTTCAAGTCGTGTCCTACCCAACACTAATGCTTAGAGAGATAAATATAGCTATACTATTAAACTTAAGCCTTGAACGCAATTTGCTCAGTTAAAAGTCATTTAACAGTAAACATCAAATCCAACTCGACTACTACCGATTGCACTTTCAATTTGGGATCTTAATCGTTGTCTTGATCACTTAGAACTTCCTTATCACACACACACTTTACTGCAACAGTTTTAGAGAACCTGTTTAAATAAAACTAGTTTTTTACGTGTTAATACACGAAACTTTATTTATTTATTGACGTTTCGCAGCCTTTATAGGCTGCGTCGTCGGAATCAATTTTCTCAGAAAGGTCTCCCAATTTTGGGAGCGGTGTTAGTTTACGGTAGTTAGGATCAAATAAATAGATTCAACATTACAAAAAACATTTATAAATAAAGTACTTTATTAACTAAATTAAGTAATAAATTCATACATAGACAATAAAACTTTAAAAATCGAACAATGAAATAACCTAACGCTTAATAAAAGTCTTTCGAAGGTAGCTCGACAAAATCAAATAAAAAATTGATTCCGACGACGAAGCTTGTAAAGGCTGCGAAACGTCAATAAATAAATAAAGTTTCGTGCATTAACACGTAAAAAACTAGTTTTATTTAATGAGTGATGTGCGTGAAAACCTAAGAAACAAATATGAGAACCTGTTTATTTTGAAAATTAAAACAAATGTTTAATTTAGATATCGAACCAAGAATCAGAATTCTATATGTATTTAAGTATTATTATTATCTAATTTGTTTCAGCTCAAATTTGAAATAGCCCGCAACACACGGATTTTGGAAATAGTTGGCTTCAGTATTTCCCTGGTAGCTCTCTTAGTGTCTTTGTTCCTTTTCTCACACTTCAGGTTAGTTTTTACTTATAATTTATTTATTTTGAAGCCTGTTGCTTTATTTAATTCTCGATGGTGTCTTGCTAAGCTGCTGTGGTAAGATATCATAATATTTATTAAGCAGTTTTGTGGTACTGATTTGAAGAAACAGCGTTTAACCTTTGCCTATGATTGTATTATCCTGCGATCGCAAACTTTGTAGTGAAGGCCTGTGTAGTGTTTGGCGGGAAACGGTAAAGAAAACAGTAGCCCTAGCACGAACATTCATCGAATTCGAACACTTTGCGAGTGCAAAATGTCAATCTCCTATTTTGTCTGAAAACTTGAACATCAGCGCACATAAAAATATTTCGGAGAATATAATATAGAATATGCGTACGCAACGAGAAGTAAAAATCAGTACACATTTAACAATGACATTTCGTACTGGCAAACGATACTAATTCGATATTGGGTCGTGCTATACGCCCAGCGATAGTAGCGTTTATTCACAACTGACTATGGCTGACGATTGGCGTTGGCGTGGCAAAGTCCTCTTCCGGTGAAGTCAAAGTGTCACTACTTAATTGCCCCGGAGAGGCACTGCTGCCCGGCGACCACACCGATCCAGACCACCGCTCCGACCACTGTCGCACACATACCCTGTGTCTCGGTACACATACCCTGAGTTGAAGAATCTGTGCCAACATTAGGGGTAGCAGAAGCGAAAGAGGTTCTACTCGTTTGCCGGCGTAATAGGGGTGATGACGGGGTACAGTAAACGTAATTCTATTTAGTCCGTCAGTTAGATGATCAAAAACTAATGGACACGTATTTTTTCTTTGGTCAATCAACCAAAAAATGACAAAGTTATAGCGCGTCAAAGTTTGGGAGTGGGGGCTCGTGACGTCACTTTTGAGTGAATTTTCACTTATAAGTGTACTCAAACGTGACGTCATGCGACTTTTCAAATCAATTTATCTCTGCAATGTCTATAATATGTGAAAAAAGAAAAAATACGCGTCTAATACTTTTTGATAATCTACCTGATAAAGGAAGAAAAAAAATTAGTCATCATCCCTATTGATCAATATGTCTTGTTTCGCCATCTCGACCTAGTACTTTGGAATTACTAGGACCTATTCGATCTATAATGCGATCTGAAATCCACTTTTCGTCTTGCCTATCATACCCATTCACCCCTCCCGAAGCATACTTTTCACGTTGTTGCGCGTGTACTGTTTTATTCCCAATAATTCTATATAATGAATCTAAGCGTGTGCGAATTTGCCTACCTATGATGAGCCTAGCTGGACTCTCACCCGTGGTCGCATGTTCTACATTTATTTATTTATCTTTAACAAAGTTTCTACAGCGGTTTTTGTGAAATTTAATACAATAAAATATAGATATAATCTTAAAACCAATTACAGAAACTCATTACGTACACATTAGATATTAACGGCGTTATTATATGTCAGTAATTATTACATTTAATTTAATTTTAAAAATTGCATAAAAATCGTATAATTCATTAACTTAAAAAGCATAAAACGTTAATATATAACTCTACAAACGCAGCAAACCGGAGGCAAAGGATCGACTTAAAAAAATGCAATACTACTTTTGCTACGAGGCAGTATGGCGCACGTTCAGCTGAATTGTATAATAATTTAAATAAAAAGCTTAAAATATACAATAAAAATTATTATACTTGTAAGTGTTCAATAACAGAGTGGCTGCAAGCAAAAACCTATCAAGAAATCGAAATGTTACTTGAGAAGGTTAAATAACTAAAGAGTGAAAAAGAGTTAAAATGAGGCTCACATCTTAACACACATACACACACGCCCACACATATACCCACGCACGCACATCTATACACGCACGCACACACACACAAACACACGCACGCGCACACATATACACATGCACGCACGCACACATACACCGGCTACATGAACATTATTAAATATTGTTTAATTAGAAAATAAAAATAAACTACTTATGGAAGAGCGGCGTCCCCTGACACAGGCTTTTTAGCTTAACAGAGGACCCCGATCACTGAAAATTTTGTACAAAAATTCTTAAGAAGAAATAAAGATTATTATTATTATTATTATTATTATTATTATTATTATTATTATTATTATTATTATTATTATTATTATTATTATTATAAAAATATAATAAAATTAAGATTGGGCAAAAACATAACAAAGAGACAAAAAAGAAGAAAAACAAACACTGAATATCCATATAAAAAGGTTTTCAAGACTTTGTCACATGATAACCTTATGAAGTGTGAGTGGGTGTGTGTGCGCGTATGTATGTGTGTTTGTGTGTGTGTGTGTGTGTGTCCATGCAGCTGCAATGCTATGCCTGGTAACGAGATGGCGGACGCCGCAACCCGGGCACTACATTCCTATAGTGCATCAGAAAGGTCCACAGGGCTTTATCAATATTTTGTTTCTCCTGAATTGCCTTCTTTACTACACGTTTTAAAGAACGTACCGCATTGTCAGCTTATCAATGCACTTGAAGAGGGATGATATGGAGCCGTAAAAATATGTTCGATGCGATTCAAAACAATGAAATCTTTAAACTCGCTCGAGGTGTACCGGGGACCGTTATCACTAACAATCTGCTTTGGTAACCCCCACCTACTGAATAATTCTGTTAGTTTATGAACTAGAACTCTCGTCGATGTACCCGTAGAAACATTGAGTACTTCTAGCCACTTGGAGGTCGCATCCACTACCACTAAATAAGTTTTATCCACTACAAGTAAAATAAAATAAAAAAAAATAAAAAAAATAAAAAAAAATACAAGGTCCATGTAGTCCAGACGCAGCCCGGTCCGGGGCCTACTGGGCCGGGGCCTACTGGGCCGGGACCTACTGGGCCGGGGCCTACTGGGCCGGGGCCACTCGCGCGGCTCTTGGAGCCCCTGCCTTTTGTTCTGTAATCTAACCCTGTTAGATTTTAAATTGTTCACATTGACTTCTTACTTGTGTTGCTACCATATTTTATTGTATTTTTCAATCTATACCGATTAATCTAGTAAATAACTATGTCATGTCGCTTTTTGTCGCTAAAAATTTTAAAACTTACTATTAAAGTAAATAAAACACAAATCAACCGAAAACACCATTAGAAGAACCGGCCAAGTGCGAGTGGGACTCGCGCACCGAGGGTTCCGTACAAACTTTAATACCTCTGCACCGTAGAGGGATCCGCTTGCGAACTATTGAATTTGGTTAATTTTTGAAGAAAACATTAATAGTGACCTACACGTATATGAAGTTATTGTAGCGTAAAATCTCGCATTGAAAAACAAAATCTAAAAAAACTAAATTGAAACCACAATAAATATCATTAGTTCCACAATGTTTTTTGTGTTCAACACAGAAAAAAAAGACTCCTACTCAAATATATTGTGGTAACGACAGCCAACTACGGAACTGTACACTGCGCGTGGCACGACACGAACTTGGTCGGATTTTTTCATAAAGTTGAGAGAACATTTAATTTCCTAACTAGCAAAGCTTACAAATGAAATAATCTATACCTGGAATTGTTTTATAATTAAATATCAAAACAAACTAGAAAATTTAATGTTGTTATATGTTTTTAATGTAATATTAATGAAAAGTTGGAATTTGATATTGAGAATATTGGGGAATTCCCCGAAATATTTGTATGTGATAATTTAGAATTAATTTATATACAAAATAAATCATGTCGATAAGTGTTTTAATCTTTTCTCATATCGTTGTAAGAAACGGCAATTGTATTAAATTAATATTAAAGACAGCCGCTACACCATCGCGTCTATCTTGATATATGTAAGTCGCTTAAACAGAGATATCATTATTAATCAAACTTAAATATTTGTTGACGTCTATAAAAGTTATATTTGTATTAATGGCAAATGCGAATTAGTTTAAAAACGTTAAATTATAATCTTTTGTTTGATTAATTTGTTTGGCGAATGTGTTAAACGCTCACATTTAATAATAATATGCTGATATGCTCAACATTATAAATTTATAAACATCAAAAACATTATGTAAGTATGCTTACGACTTACGGACATATTGGATTGAATCCGCATCGCTACTTCGTCTTGTCTCTAATTTGATTGCAGATCTCTGAGAAACAACCGCACGAGGATCCACAAGAACTTGTTTGCTGCGATGTTGTTGCAAGTTGTGATCCGACAAATAGTTTATATTGACCAGGAATTTGTTCGCAGTGAAATAGGGGATCAATCTACTTCAGTGAATGCTTCGATTCAAGGAATCGACAATATGGTGAGTTACCTCAGTTCACGTAACAGGGATGATGACGGGGTACAGTAAAAGAAATTCTATTTAGTCCGTCAGTTAGATGATCAAAAAATAATGGACACGTATTTTTTCTTTGGGCAATCAACTAAAAAATGATAAAGTTATAGCGCGTCAAAGTTTGGGAGTAGGGGCTCGTGACGTCACGTTTGAGTACACTTATTAGTTAAAATTCACTCAAAAGTGACGTCACGAGCCCCTACTCCAAAACTTTGACGCGCTATAACTTTGTCATTTTTTGGTTGATTGCCCAAAGAAAAAATACGTGTCCATTATTTTTTGATAATCTACCTGAAAAACGAAGAAAAAAAATTTAGTCATCATCCCTATTACCTCCACTACTTACGACCGGAAAAAGACAGGTATAAAAAACTAGATTCTTTATGTTTTTTTTTTTTTTTTAAGCATTTAATGCTAGATGTTTAAATCTAAAGAAAAGTTTTACTAGAAAATAAACCCACGCGGACCAGGCAGCGGACGGGACTCGAACCCGCACCCTTCGCAATCCGGGTGAATTCACTGACCAATTTTATTATGCTACCACGGCCCTAATGGCCGCGTCGAAATTTTCCTAGCCTTAAGCTGCAAGGCAGCGCTATCTCTTAGCATTGTAGGTAACCCACAATGTCAAATGAATACTTTTTCAAGTATTAAACATTTGAAGTCCCGTCCGCTGCCTGGTCCGCGTGGATTTTTTTCTAGTAAAACTTTTCTTTAGATTTAAACATCTAGCAGTTAAATGCCTAAAAAAAATAAAAACATAATATAATTGCTATTTCTTCTTTCAAATGTTTAATACTT